AGCTGATATCATATTACGACTTATAGTTCCATTTTAAAAGATCGACCTTATTAGGAGGAGTTGTCCAAATCTTGATAAATTGATTTATGTTTTCATCTTAATTAGATGTGGGATTTTACCCCTAATAGTTTGAGGACGCATATGGAGTGTCTACTAGGAAGGATAGAATAGCACTAGTATTAAGGAAGAAAAGAAACTTAAATCTGGTTTATTATACTATTAAATTTATTGAGGTAAACATGGTTTTTTCACCTTCTTTACGACTAGGATCGAACTTCCTCTATTGGATTGGTCCACAAGCTCAACTAGTTGTTACTGAACCTGAGCTTATCAAAGAAGTACTGAATAATAAAGATGGAAATTACCCAAAAATAGACATTGAAGGCTTTGCAAAGAAGCTGTTGGGAGATGGGCTTTCATCATCGAAAGGTGAAAAGTGGGCGAATATGCGAAAAGTAGCCAACCATGCTTTCCATGCCGAGAGCCTCAGAGTAAGATGCAATATTCGTTATTACTCAGTCGTATTTTATAAAACTTGATAAAGGAGTTATCGATTTCAAATTAATTTGAAACATGGCTTAGTTTGTCGCTGATGAGGGAGTGTTAATAATGCAGAATATGGTTCCAGCAATGATCTCAAGTGTAGAGATGATGCTAGAGAAGTGGAGGGAGCACGAGGGAAATGAAATCGAAGTATTCGAAGAGTTCAGGGTATTGACATCAGAAGTCATTTCGAAAACAGCATTTGGAAGCAGCTATTTGGAAGGGAAGAATATATTTGATATGCTGATGAAGTTGACTGTATTAGTATCCCGAAATGTTCACAAAATAAAGTTCCCTGGCATCAGGTAAATTTTCTTACTTTCGTTCATACAAATCATATTGATCCTCTGAGAATCAAAACATTCAAAACAGATAAAAGTTCTAACTCGAATCGAAAGAAAATAAGCCCGGGTCCAAGACAGAATTCCCTGGTTTTCAAAATGAGACGCTATAGGCATGTTTCGTAGGCTGGACTAGACAAGATTAAGAAAGC